AAACCTTTGAGAAATCGTCCTTTGCAAACTTGAGTAGGTGCGAAGTAAAAAAATAAGGGATTCGAAAGAAACTGCTCTTCGTATATTTTGTTATAAACTCTAAATTCCAAAAGCAAATTTAGGTAAAATGTCATTTAGTAGAAGCGAATAGTACCGCAAAAGAAGTTCCCCATTAACTATTGCCCTGCATTTTATCGAATTCTATCCTGCCCAAAATCAATTCGACAAGAAAAACGTCGTGTGCACTTTCGCATTGATCTTTCTTTTGTTCGTTATCACATTCACTTCCTTGTTCCAATTCCTTCTCTAATTTGGAATAATTTGCCAAGACCGATCTGCAGAAGTTTCTTGAATTAGAGTCCAACTTTTCTTTTATTTCATTATTTAGTTTCTCGTTGGATCAGGGCAGAAGGAACTTGCTGCAAATCTCGCTGTCGTTTACACAGCCACCACCAAGCGTGCAGAAAAATGTTTGCACATTTGCACAGTCGTTGAAAGCGACTATCGAACAAAGTTGCACTTTGGAGCAGAGAGGTCGTTCACGTTACTTTCGAGCTACCCACTCCACTCTGGCCTTTCACCGCTCAACCCGATCTCGAATCCCAATCAAATTCTACTGATGGTCTGGCTTATGAGTCTATGCCGTGTATTTCGTCACTGCTTGGAAAACTGCATGCTTGAATGCTCTGAACGATACCTCTGTGCTTGCACTTCTCGCTCCAAAGTGCATTATGACGGCGGCAAGCGTGACTCTCTATGGAATATCATAGCGGAAAAAAGCGCTCGCTGTTTGCTCGTGCTTTGACTGCTTAAGCTGCTTCGAAGTTTTGTGATGTGCTAGTGAGGGAGCGTTGGCACGATGCCAAGCAATGAACGTGTTTTTCGAGGCGCGTGGTAGGTCGCATGACGAAATCGCCGCCCCTCATGTCTTGATTGTACATATATGTGTGTGTATATGTGTATGTGTGCGACATTCTGCGCAGAATTAGAGCTTCACCTCCTGCGCTTTTTTCTTAGAAAATCGACCTTTTTGCGTTAAAAATTCAAATCTTAGAAGGGATACTCCATCTCCTATTCCTGTCTAGCCCTTTTAAACTCCGAGGCAGAGCATGTCCGCGTAACGTCGACGAAAGCCGACAGCTTGTCTTGGCCGAGTCGCTGACAAGAAATGGTGCGCACTTCGCGGAGGCGATGACCGCTTTTTCCTCGCTTTTCCCTCAACACTGTTCATCGTGTTGGCACACGTCCAGACTTCGAGAATCGATAGTGCAATGACGCAAGTGGCTCCTGGCGAAGGCGCGTCCAGTATAAAAACTCGCGGGCCGGCCGTTCTTTACAC